CAGCTCTTTAAACAAATGCAAAGYTCAGCTTAGTGTATCTTTGAAGGAAATTCAACAGTTGACTTTGGCGGTTTGGTCTCTTTTCTCTTTTAAATTCAGTCTTTAACATAYTATCTAATGCTGTATCTCACCCATATCTTTCCTTATGCCCCTCCTCAGACTGAATCTGCCCTGGTCTTCTTCCCAAGCCTTAGTAATTTCTGTTGCTTTCCAACATCTCCATTTCTGTCTGTTATGCAGAGCACTTTGCCCAGCAGAGCAAGATATTTGGCTTTCAGCTCTGTGACATTCATGTACCAATGCACTCACAGTGTAAAACACAGTGGAACTGGAAGTAGTTTATAACAGCCATTACTTTTGTAACTCTTTAAACTATTTCACACTTCATTTGAAAATCTCTCCTGTGGTAGATGGTTGGAGTGGACTTGAGGAAAAACTGAAGAGCACAGCTCTGAAAAAAACTATTACCAATGAACAGTAATCCACATGTGRTTTTTCAATTTTAGAAATGAACTATTTTATACATATCTGAAAGAAAGGAGAGCAAAAATTGCTATGGTCAATGCCCTGGAATCACTGAAAAGGTGTCCTTGAATGGTACTAATTAGATTAATAGATTTATRCACAGGATTCAGAATTTAAGTTTTCAGACATGGTGCTCCTTATGTTAGTAATCACTCAAATTGTAAACTCTCATAGCTAATTATCTATGACTGATTATTGATTGCATGTTTTTCCTGACTGAAATGTCTTATATCTCTCTCTGTATGTGCTGGTTTTGGTTGGAGTAGAGCTTATTTTCTTCACAGTAGCTGCCATGGGGCTRTGATTTGGATTKGTGGCTGAAGTGTGTTGAYAACACMGGGATGGTTTGTTACGGTTGRGCAGTGCWGACACTGAGTCAGGGCCTTTTCTGTCTCTCACCCCAACAGAGAGAGGGGCTGGGGGTGCACAGGACRTTGTGAGAGGGCACAGCAGGGACAGCTGATCCCAACTGGCAAAGGTGTTTCCCATAACAAATAGCATCATGCTCAGTATATAAAGCTGGGGGAAGGAGAAGGAATGATGGGATGTGCAAAGTGATGGCGTTTGTCTTCCCAAGTCACTGCTACACGTGATGGAGCCCTGCTATCCTGGGGATGGCTGAACACCTGCCTGCCCATGGGAAGAGTGAATAGATTCCATGTTCTGCTTTGCTTGTGTGCACAGCTTTTGCTTTACCTGTTTAACTGTCTTGATATCAACCCATGAGTTTCTCACTTCAACCCTTTTAATTCTCCTTCCCATCGCACGGAGGGCAAAGTGAGTGAGCAGCCATGTAGTGCCTGGTTACTGGCTGGGGTTAAACCCCAGTGACATGGTGTCATATAGGTATTTATAATACCACTACTGTGGTATATTATGTGTATCTGCTTGAAAAATCATAGGAGGTTCCTGTTTTAATTTCAATATAGATATACTCTCTTATTTGGTTATTACTTTCTTACTCATTAATATCTGTTCAGTCTGTGTAATGAGTCAAYACATTCCCATTTTCTGCAGAGAAAATAAAACAAAAAACACTCATCAAGATTAATATGATCCATAAAGGCAGAAGATGATTTTTTTTCTAAGAGATATAACTGGGGTAAGATGCTCTTTCTTCCCCTTTCCAGTGACTTCTGTATTTGTATATATAAAACAACCTTACCTCAAAGATAAGCTTAAGTCTTATAAAAGGTAGAATCATTATTGGGGAAACGGTAAAGTTAAATTCTTAACAATCTTTTCTGTCTGTGGATTTTGAACACTTCATATATTGGTATAAAGCACAAAATTCTGCACACCACTGATAGCTTCAAATCTTCACATTTCCTTAATTGCTCCCTAGGTAAGTACGATAATTTGCTCCAGACTTATGGCTACTGCAGCAACCCAGAAASCGACTGGAATATTAAATTGACAGGCTGTAGCAGGTTTTATAGGCTTAACTGGATCAGAGGTTTTGCCTGAACAAAGAAATGACATACAATATCCTGCAAACTGGATAAAAACACAAGGTGAAAGCTGCTGGTGAGTTTTTGCATTAACTTTCTTTCAAAAAAAGAATCTCAAGAAAATAAGGAATACTAAGTCTGGATTTTAGAGTGGGTAGGGCTGGTGGAGTTCCTCAGGCAACAGGTCATCTGGCACCTCTCCTGTAGGGTTAAAAAGCAAGGAACCAGTTTGTACCCTGACTTGCACCCTACCCACAAGAAGTTTACCATGTATTTGTTCTTCCTTCCCCTGATCAGAGAATCACAGAATGGTTCTCTTCTAGACCTTGAGGATCATCCAGTTCCAATGCCCCTGCCATGGGCAGGAATCCTTCCACTAGACCAAGCTGTTCAGAACCCCATCCAGTCTGGTCTTTAACACCTCCAGGGATGGAGAATCCACAACATCTCTGGGTGATCTGTGCCAATCACCACCCTCACACTACAGAGTTTCCTTCAGGTGCCTAATATAAACCTGCCCTCCTTCAGCTTAAGGCCATTCCTTATCCCAGTACCCAAACCTACACTCTGACATACCTTTCCAGAGACCAAGGCGAACACTATGAAATTAGATAAACAGCAAAGCTGATCAATATCTCTTCCCTGCTTTTTTTTTTTTTTCTTTTCTTTTTTTGTAACTTGGACTAAAACAAAACATTAGATAAAAGACAAACAAAAGTTGGTATCCTGTTGCCCCTTTCCCTCTCCCACTGGAGAATTGATTGGCACCCTCATTTTATTTTACTTTGCCTTTATTTCAAGAAAAGGGAAACCAATTTGGTTTTTAATCAAACACTGTTTTAAACACARTGACTCTTAATCTGCTCTTTGGAAAAGGGATGGTAAATATACTTTCACCTCTACCTTTTTCCCAAACAGACCTATTTTTGCTATATGTCATGTCCCATCCCTCTGAGTTTCTGAAGATGAGGCTACTCACACATATCAGAAGAGTGGGTCCTCCTGGCCTCCTGGAGTCTGAGCCTTCCAGCCAAAAAGCAGAAAAGACTAGATTTTATACCATGATTTCTCATACACGTTTGCACAAACAGAAGTCGCTTCATTTTTAAAAAAAAATGTTTATAACTTAAAACAAATCAACTAGACAAATGCTGTTTGAAGTCATCAAAGTATATGGTATAAAAACACTTCTGCCCTCTAGTGCTGTGATGCAGTGTGATATCTTAGATGCACCGATTGATTTTTTGGAGGGGAAGATGTGTGGCATTGCAACCCACAATTTCAGCCACTTTTATCACTGTGAAGGGAAGGGAGGGGAGTGTAAAAGGTACTTAATTTTTGAGTATGAACTTGAGAGAAATATGATCTTAATACCTGAAACAACAACAAAAGCTAGTAAAAACCTCTTGAAACAGATAAATTGTGCAGCAGCTTGTTAAAGGCACTTTGGGATAAATTGGAAATGCTACTACTCAATCAAATAGAGAAAAATCTGAAACAACATCARTGATGGGGAATATTCTGCCATGAGTGAGATGTGTTGTCAAAGCTTCTTTTAAGTAATGTTTGCAGTTGTGTGGTGAATGCCAGTGGRGTGTTGCTGCTCTCTTCACTCCTGCCTTTGAGGGTCTGGGATTCAGTGGAGATGTGAAGAACAGTCTCAGTCTCAGGGGCACCAGAGTATGCTGGCAGGAAGGGGAAAGGATCGTATTAAAGGGCACCATTAAAACTCCCCGCTCTATCTTTACTAGTTTAATCTCATAAATTAATCCACATCCTCCTAGAATAAGTCTTCAAAGAGAAAGAGGTAATTGGATATAAATACTCTCTTACCAAGCCTGAATTACAGTGATATGGCAGCAGGCAGCTTTGGGCACTTTGATCTCTTTGCATGATTTTCATTCCCTTTTCAAGCCTTAGTTTTGGTCCTTATTGTTTCATTACTTTTCCACTGCCAGCTGTGCTGTGTCTGCTTACTAGCTTGTCCTCTAGCCACTCCCTCTGGCCATTCGTTAAGAGGCTCAGCCTTCACCCCTAATTATTCTTTGCTGGCTGTTCTTCTGCTTGTGCTTTCCCTGCAGTGAAGCCAGATGAAATATTTGTGCCCACGTGTGCATATAAAACCCTGCCAAGGCTCTGATGTGTGGGGCCAACTGCTGCTTAGTGCATTTCTGGTAAACCTGCACCCCATGGCACAGCTGCTGAGCGGGAGCTGTGGAAACCCCTACCCACACAATACACCGCGTAGATAAAACCCTCTGTCTTCTCCAAGTGGAACTGACATGTTTTCATCATTCTTTTGATCACCTCGAGTCTCTTAATACACTCTGAACCCAGTCTTGCCTCTTTGCTGTCACATTAGATTGATAGCTCCTTGAGAMAACAACTGCATTTTGAATTAGGTCTGGCAAAACAGGGCGCTAGTCCTGATTCAGTGAGTCGCACCTTGGGCATGACAGCAAGATGAATATGCCCTAGGAATTCCTGGTGCCTGAAAATGAAAGACTGGCAAGGAAACTGAGGCTCAAGCTGAGAATAAGTCACCTGGGTCCAGCACAAGCAGAGTGACTTTGCACACTCGTTGGACAACTTTTGGGCAGACTGCTTAAGTCCACAAGGTTCTCGATGACCACAGGGTTAGGGGTGGGACTGCCAGCATCAGTGCTCTTCCCAGTAGATATTGGTCTTCCATATGGAACATTTTCATTCAAGGAAGTGATTTGATTTGAAATGCATGAGATTTGAGGTCAGCAGTCTAGAGTAAGACTTGAATWAGAACAGCAAAGACTGTGCTAAAAGTTTCTGAAAATATTATCCTTGGTATCTGCTGCCAATTCCAAATATAAGAAGTATTTCTACAGTACTTAACAAAAATTCCTGAGGAGCTGAATCAGAATAAATACTAGTTTTTATATGAAGTTGTTTGCTACAACMGCAGAAAATTGACTTTCTGATTGAAGGAACTCCTTCTAGTCCTGGTTTGGTGTAAACAGGAAAAAATAAAAGCATATTTTTTCATTTTAGTGTTGGCCCATATGTCTTGGTAACTCCAAATGAAACCCGAAGAAAACAGTTGCAGCAAAGTAAGTTGATTTGTCAAATATCATAACACATTATTTCTACTTGAATAACTTTAGGGTTTTGTGCATTTTATTGCTCTTGCAATTTTTATCCTCATTTTTACAATGCYTTTATATGTACAGCTATGACAGTGAAGCCAGTGCTAGGAGCATTCTCCATGATTATGTAGCTTTTCTTAAGATTGACTCATCATCTGGCTTCACTTCATGCAGAATAAATCTTGTTCAGAAGGGTTTTGGTAATTTCAGTGCTGGAGCTGTKCAAGATGGCTTCTACAAGACTATGCTGGAATTAGTTTATCCGACTTTTATAGGACTGAATTAATATCAGACAATTTTGAACAGTCTCTAGGTTAGGAGGAAGAAGAAGAAAGATATAAATAAAAAATATTTTTGAAAGTACTCACATGCAGAAACAACAGCARCTGCAGCTGCTGTTGTTTCTTGAACGTGCATTTAAGGATTGTARGTGGGTCTTTTAATGAAGCTGATAAGAGTCATTTTAGATGGAACGTATTTGTGGATATATGCTCACTTGTGCTTGGCTTTGACTTGTTGGTGAAAGTAGCTAAGCAGGAACGCCCTGAACCTCTACCAGAAAGATCAGGCAGATGCTGAAATCTTTTATTGGCAAAGTTACAGCAAGAGTCAGTTGTGAAATAAATTCTGTATACAGAGGTGGCTGACCACAGCAGTCCTACACTCCTGGGCATTGATTTATGCAAGATAGGAAAGCTGAAGGAGTGTGAGTCAGCACTTCTCATGTCTTGAGTCCTCGACAAAACGGTGCAATTAAATCCCTTCTTCTCAGACACTGTGAGCTTGGCTGAAATGTTTCACCAGCAGGCTGATATGAGCTGGGTTTCCTTTGGTTSCAAGGAAGAAAATGGACTTACCATGAACCCAACTATAATCTTCTGGAAGGATGAAGAGCAGCAGATCATCTTAGACCTGACTGTGATGTTAACAGCAAAGGTGCTGCTCCTCTAGTAAAGATCTGTTTTCTCTTTATTGCACCAGTGTGAAAGGACAGAAGCATGTCAAGCATTTCTGTCTTGGATGCTGGCMGAAATAGCACCTCACCAAATGCAGTGTCTATTTAAATGCTTGTTTTAAAGGTGGTATGTCTTTTGGGCCTCTTTAGAAGTTTACCCAGATAGTGGCTTTATCCTCATAGAGTAGGGCTGGTGTCAGCCTCTGATAGCGATAGCCAGCCATTAGGAAATGTGGTTAGTAMGGATGAAATGAGCTCCTAGAACAAGTGAAGTGCCAGTGTCAAACACAGCTCCTCTTTCCATAGGCTTTGTTGGCCTTGCTATTGAGAGGAATTGTTGTTTCCCCTCCTCAATAGAGAAGTTAAATCAGGCAGCCATCCTGCAGCATATGGCTGCACCCCAGCTGGATTGACTTCCACTGACTACGCTGGGAGCCTGCTGCCCATCTCACATGTGGGYGCCTCTGCTGAAGTGTCTTAATTTGAAGCTGATTCATGCATTCCTCCTGTTTTTATTTAGGGAGCATGTGGTTGGGAGGGAAAATTACTTTTCATTTCCCTGCTGGGGAGCATTACACCACAAGGATTTCCCTCTATGCAGCAATAACGTCTTAATCCTAACAACTTCTGCTTTACCTGCAGGAGTAAATACTGTGGCATTTGCCTACAGGTTCCCAGGGGTTAAAAAGCAGTCTATTAGCAGTGTCTTAGCTGTTTTGGGGTTTGCTTTTGGGGTTGAGTCCTAGGGTTGCTCACCATTACAGTTTTGAGTTAGGCAAAATGTTTGCCTTGTTAGCTGATCATTGCAGTGATTGAGTAACCTCTTGTGGGGGTGTCTGCATCCCCTGAGAACAAGTTTGTTCCTGGATGGCCTTCAGGATTACACACAATTAGCAATAATGGCTGCTTTTTTTAGTATTCTTGCTAACTTCCCTGTATTTATTTCTGTTTATACCTGCTCAGTTGCTAAGAAAGAGCTTGATGACCTGGAGCGATGGAAGGAAGAACACAGGCCAGGGCCAATTRCATTGGTGCCACAGAGACTGGGTAAGACATGTAAATCAGCAACTGTGAATTGCAAAATTTYATTTTCCAGGACATGAGACATTTTTCACTTCATCTCACATGCTACTTATTGAAGAGATTCAGTGTCAGTAAGGGCTGACATGAGYCCATTGTTTGTGCTCTGTACTTCCTGATGATCATGGCAAAAAAAGATGTTTCTGAAACAAAACAGCACAGATTGTCACCTAAGAAATCTGTCAAGATCAGAGTAGAAAATCTGTACTACATTTGGGGGAGACAGGTGGATTAACCCTCCCGCTGTTGATGCTGTCTGTGGTTGATGTCTCTGAGGGGCACACACTTGTCACTAGTGTGCAGGTGGACAGTTGGAGATCCTCCAGTTGCACACAAGAAAACTCCTCTGTGATGTGCTTCCCTGGCTGCTGGCTCTTGAAGAGGAAAAAGGGATCCCTGCAGCTTCAGCATTTGCAGGCTAAATGTGCATGAAGTATTACCAGTTTTATGAAGATAGCAACAGGAAAGTAAATGAAAAAGAGGGTAAAAAGCTGCAAGAACTTAAGACACCCTGAACTGAGCTGATGTGTTTGCTAAGATAACCAAGATGTTTTCTAGATGGGTGAGAGAAAGTCTAGGAGATATCTTAAATTGTAACCACTATAAAGTATTCCATTTAGTGATATATCAGACTTAGTTTAAAAAACTTCTACAAGAAAGAGCTGCCCTTCCTTATCTTGGCTGTCATAGGAGAATTTGGGGCGCCCAGTGCAGGCTGTTGTCTGCCTTGACCTTCAAATTAAGATCTTTTTCTACAGGCTACACAAGATAGGTTTATCGTGGTGTACTGTRTATAAAAATAGATAGCAGGGAGGAGATAGAGGAATTCAAACTGACTCCAGCCCAGACTTGGTTTTTAGCCCAAAGTGAGCCTGGTCCCACATGTTCTGCCCTGAGTCACAGCTGTTTGCAGGGGTGGMAATGCTCTGTACTCCCACCACCATCTGCAGTCCTGGGACAGACACAGTTTGTGAGTTCATGCATAATATCTGCTTTTTGCTTGTGAGTAGTTCCTGGAAGACCCCTCCTATCGCAAGAAAACCACAGCGCTTTTTGCTTAAGAAAGTGTAGTCTGGAAACAGAAATTTGGTGTGTGGTGTCTGTGCAGAATGTGTGCAGGCTGGCTGTGTGACTGAGGGTGTGCTGTCAGAGCTGCAGTGACTGAGTGTCAGGAGTCTTAACTTCTTCTGTCCCCACTCATTTTAAAACTTTCTTGGGAAAAAAGCAATTTAAGAGGAAAAAGAAAAGAAGTAAGTAAGAAAATATGATGTCTTCAGTCACTGTCTATCTGCCATTTAGACTCCTGAAGATTGAGACACAGGCACTATGTTCAGTACCTCTGAAAAAAAGTAAAGTGCAAAGATATGATCTAATAGATCATATCATTCCGACAGGAACAAATTTGGAACTGAAGTGGCATCTCTAATTTCACCACTGTAGGCACTCATTAAGGGATAAAAGTATCATGTGTTATTTTCTCAGAGTGATTTTAAGAGACTACACATTAAGTCCAAATCACGARATAAAATCTCTTCAATAAAGTTGAAGTTTCTCAAAGTTGAAGTTTTTTAACACTTGTGCTTTCCATAGGGAAATAAGTATTCTGGATTTCAACTCTGTAATATTTGACTGGCAAACTTTCAGGCACCATGGAGAGATGGGGAGCAATGAAGGATGCAAGTTCCACTCTCCTCCATAAGCAATGAGCAGAGCAACAAATCATGCCTGATAAAGGCAACGGTCTCTTTTCTGATTTTACTGTATATGATCACAACACACTCTGACTTCAGAGAAGCATTTGGTGCATTACAGCCAAGCCAATCTGAATGAATTAAACCTGGCTGAAAGGCTATAGGCAATTTCTAATAATGATCAGAGAAATATTTGTTCTGAGACGATRTCCTTCAGTACTTGCAAAAACCTACAGTGCACTCAAGGAATTTTGCCAGTAAAAGGCTGGGGAAAAAATTAATGATTAAGCATCCTAAAGGTTTCAAAACTTATTTAGCAGTCRTTTTATTTTCTGGACCTGGGGAGGAGACAATCTACTATGCCASCTGTATGCTTCTTGCCTCTCTAAGCTTGTTGCTTGCATACTGTATGGTCAGTCTCTCTTGTGATCTTATCTTAGGGATTTATTTGTGTCCACAGAAATGTTGCCATACTTAGGGAATTGATCTCCCATTCACTGAATGTCACAAAAGCGTCTAAAGATTACTTGCCTTCCATTAGTAAATGGAAAAAGCTGCCTTTAGACCAGAGTGATCCCTGGTGAAAGGTCTAGTATATTTTTCTTACATTTCATAGAATTGTTTAGGTTCTGAAGGAAACTTTAATATCATTTAGTTTCAACCAKCCTGCCATGGGCAGGGACACCTTCCATTAGACCAGGTTCCCCAAAGCTCCCTCTAATCTGGCATTGGACACTTCCAGGGATGTGACATCTGCAATGTCTCTGGAGAACCTATGCCAGCGCCTCAGCAACTCATAGTGAAAAAATYCTTCATTACATTCATTCTAAATCTCTCCTCTTTCAGTTTAAAGCCATTCCTCCTTGTCCTATCACAATATGCCCTTGCTAAAATTCCCTCTCAGTTCTCTTATAGGTCCCTTTAGRTACTGGAAAGCTGCTAKGAGGTCTCCCTGGAGCCTTCTGCTCTCCAGGGTGAGTAACCCTGGCTCTCTCAGCCTGTCYTCACAGGAGAGGTGCTCCAGCTCTCTGATCACCTTTGTGTCCCTCCAATGGACTCARTCCAGCAGGTCCATGTCCTTCTTATAYTGGGGGCTCCAGGGCTGGATGCAGCACTGCAGGTGGGGCCTCACCAGAGCAGAARAGAGGAGCAGAATCCCCTCCCATGACTGCCCACGCTGCTTTTGATAAGCCCAGGGTGTCAAAGACCTCAGGTAGCACAGATTGGTCCAGCTGCTTCTATAGAATTAGGAGTCACATAGAGGGGAATTTCTCGTGAAAACAGCAAATTGGGAAAATACAGCCCCTATACTCAAAATGGAGTAAGAACTGCTGTTGTTTTTTGCTACAACTGAGGGAATAAATTATTTCCCCTCCTAAAGCAAGAAAATACTTTGCTGAATAGAGCAGACTAGTGGAATCAAAGTCACTGTCTCCATCCTTAAGACCTAGTATTACTTTCTTTGTGTGGTTGGGTTTTTGGTTTGTGGGGTTTTTGTTTCTTTTTATTGAAGGCTGAACATTATGGCCAGAGCTTTAGATGGTCACAAAAGAGAGTCCATGCCTTTGGAACAGGACACCTTCTACCTGGCTATGAATGTGAGGAATGTGGGAAAAGGCTTTCACTTCCATTTCAAAAAGAGGATTCTTCCTTGAGCCCCAAGACATTACTTGGAAAATGAAAATTATATCATCCCATTAGAGCTAGCAGAGTCCAAGATCCTAAATTTGATAAAAGAGAAACTTTTTAGCAATAGAATTTCTAACTGTATGTGTGTGACAAACTGAGCTAAGGTAGGGAGAGTTGGATCTGAAGATGAAAACTTGCCTGCAAAGCATGACTGATTTTCTGAAAATGGAATAGTTCCTCAGTAAACTGATCATATATTGTAGGGACATATTTGCTGGTAGAGTGGATGATACAGTGGGTGCTCTGTAAATAATAGGCAAGTGCTTTTGATGGATGAATAAAATGATCAGAAAGGTCTCCTATCTCTTTTCTTTAATGTCAGCCAGCTACTGTAATTATGAAAAATTTCCTGTATAGGCATACATCCAGTCTGTGACATTACTGTATTCTGAAATGACTGGCATTTGCAGTTAAAATGCTCATACAAAATACAATTTATATTTTTTGGGTTTTTTTTAAGGTGGAAATGAATCACAAGCTCAAGTAAGACAAAACCAGCAAATGATTCTCATGCAATCTAAATACCAGAAAAAGGTCAGTAAGAATAAATGTGTTTGTTTATATTAGAATTCAGAAGAAAGCTTTTCATGGAGTGTTTCATATGACTATAAAATGAACTCACAGCTGCTTGGCAGGAGAAAGTCTTGAAACCTGAAGGAAGCAGCAGAAAATCAGAAACTAATGTTCTGCACCAAAAAAGATGAGAAATCTGTCTGTAAATATGTAGCAATCKGTATCACAGATGATATCTGAAATAACAACCAGTACAGTTTTAAATCCCCTTACATGCTTTGCTGTATCTTCCGGCGTGCTGCCTACGCTTGGGCTAATTGATCAATGTACCGCCCTACCCTGTGATTATGTGGAAATGTTGTTCCTGCTATAAGAGGTAGAAATGCTTGTAAGTTATCAATCAGCTGTGTGTAAAGCCTTGCATGGATGCCCATTTATCAGTCCTAGATTTCTCAGCCTTCTTAAACCCAATATTGGAGTAGCTGTTGCACAGCCTGCATTATTCAGTGTCTCATTTTAAGGGGAAAAAAATCTGAAAAATTTCCCCAAACACACTTTAGATTTGAAAGATGTGCACTATAGGAGTCAGGTTACCTTATGTATTCCTTGTATACATGAATATGTAAAATTACTTCCTATGTTTATGTCATGCAGCACAAGAGAGAAGAATACATAAAAGCAAAAAAGGCAGCTGAAGAAGCTGAAATCCAGAAAAAGAAAGCAATTCAGAGAGCAAAGGTAAATCTGGTTACTGCAGACTTGAAGCCATATAACAGCTCATGTCCTGACACTTGATTTTGCTGAACTACACGAAACAGGCTAATTAAATTAAGTGGTAGCCCTGGATGGTATTGAGGAATTAGGAAGCACAGTCTTCCTCCTCTTTGTAGCTGACTGAAGGATGCCTGACCTGGTGTTTTTCGGGGCTTGAGTGTTCCTTTAGCTCATCAGGAACTCCAGCCTTTCAGTTGCATCCATCTGGAARAGTCAGCAGAAGGGGAGAGCATGAAAGCCAAGGAGTATCATTGTGTGCAGCTTATATGGTTCACTTTGGCACGAGCTCCTTCTATAAGATTGGCTTGTAGCAGTTGGCACAAAGACCTTACAGCAATCCATAATTGCCTGTGCATGTGAGAAGAATACTGGAAAATCCAGCCTGCTGTGATGGAAAGGATACCCAAATCATGGAAAGGTCAGTTTAGTCTGCCTGCATTGTGCTGAAAGTGCCCTGCAATTCAACTGCCCCTTCAGACCTTCTGCTGCTTGTACACACAAATGTCTTGCTAAAAGGTCAGATCACTTTTCTTTCTGATATTCTCCATCTATTGACACCAATAATAGCTCACTTGCAAATTTTCTTTCGTTATTTTGAATTTGTTTACTTCCTGTAGTTATTCTCACAAAGCATCTTCTTGTCCTTTGTGCTGCACAATTCTTTGTAAAAGTTCCTTCGTATCTCCAAGATGGCAGCCATGTATTACTTGCTTGAGAATGCAGTGTGGAATTTAAATGAAGAAGGAAAAGAGAGGGAGCATGATACTGATGTGTACATTAACAAGGAGAGAAAGGGAGATTTCAGGTTTGCAAGTTTTGTCTCCACAACAGTAAAAATGATTTTCTGTGCAGAAAGTGAATGCTGAGAGTTAATTAAAAAGTCATCAATACTGGCTGGCGTACAAGGGCATGCATAAACAAAAATAACTGTAATTGCCTCTAGGTGAGGGTTGGTGTGTTCCCTGTCTTTCAGTGGTTAGCATCACACTTTGGGCATAAGCCTATACTCAGTAACTCACAGGGACAATAAATATTTTCTCCAGAAAATGTTGTTAGCTGTTAGCAGCTCATATATAGCTCCAGATGTAGTGATGAGAGCAGTGGAAGAGAGTGGATTAATTATTTAATACGTGTTGTTTGCCCATGGGCATTGGACAAGAAAAATGTTACAAGACTGCTATAATTTCTAGTTACACCTGGAAAATATATTGATGTATCCGGTTTGTTTTCATGCTCTTTAATCTCCCTACCTTCACTCCCACAGATTATAAAATCTTTATAGATGTTGTAGGTAGTAAAACTGTAACTATCCRTGTTTTCTGAAGGAGGATGCAACATCGTGGCAAACGTCTTTGCCAAACAGGCTGACTAATTTGACTAAATAAACATGTACCCACAAAGCAATCAGACAAAACAGAGGTGCTTGAAAYGGAACTCTTAATTTGTATTTGTTCAGATTGTCTTCCACAATAGTGATTGAGCCGATGAAGATTTCTCCTTGGAAGATGATTAGGYATTAATAATTCAACCTTGTGTTTAAGAAGAGCATACCAGAAAGCCACTGTGGATTTGGCTATCTCACCCTGCCTACAGATGAAAGACTCCCAAGATCTGAGAATGACAGGGATCTACTGGTGCTGTACAACCAGTGCTGGGCTCTGTTTCCCAAAGGAAAGGCACTTTTTGTTTGAAGTGATAGATTTGTATTCAGCTGCACCTGTAGGGCATTGGCTGAGAGCACGTCTTTCTGCARGTTCACAGGCCGTCTTTTCTTGCTGGCTAGCCCTTCTTTTGCTCAAGGTTATTATTCATTCAGTAAAAACCAAATTGTGTGACAGTSTGAGAGGAGATAATAGCTAGCCAGCTTTACCAGCAGGAGCCCTGGAACTTTCACAGCTGGAAAGCTTCTTTGCCAACAAACATGAATGGTGAAGCCCTACAGACTAATGTGCATTGACTAGAACGGGTGCTGCTACTCAACTCAGTCCTTCCTTGATTGTAAGGATGATGTACTGTAAACCAGTGCTACTTGTGAGCTTAGGATCTGTTTATATTACTGCTTTAATGCTGGTTCTGCAGAGAAAAGCAGCATCCCCTTTCCCATTATCCCTGTGAACAAGAGAAGGCTGTGTGCCTGCCAAAGCAGTACCAAACATAGAAGGTCTGCCTCACCATCTGTACCAGTCCACCTGCCTGTCTGCCATTCTTTAATTAACCATGAGGTTATTAGGTGCTGGAATGCCAATGCTCTTGGCATCTACCTTGTCTCTCTCCAGCTCCCAGAGAGAGGAACACTTCTTTGTTCTGTGTTCCGCAGGACCACCTTGTGTGAGCAAATACTCAWGTCTCCCATGCACTTCATGACAGGCAGCTTGTCCTAGGACTGCTGTGGTTTGTTCATGGGGTAATCGTGGGCTGCAGGAGTTTGGGTATTCGAAGCTAGTGATCTCTAAATGTTCACTGAAATAATTTGGAAAAGACTATTTARCATGAACAGGGAATTTCCTTTTTCTGTATTTTCCTCTGATGCTGAGATGTGTGTCTAATCATTATTTGCTCATTACTGGTAGATGTCTGCAGTTGGTATCTTTTTTGCAGCCCTTTACATCACAGAGTTTGACCAGACTGGACCATAATTTCTTTTGTGTCTATTGGGTGAAAGGACTGTCAAAGTTCCACAAAAAAATATGGAAACAGCTTATACATGGCCTCTTGTTTTTTTAAACTTTATTCATTTGTGCTGTACATAAAATAGGATGACTTCAGTGCACTGGATATTTCTGTTTCCTCTCACTGAATTTCTATTTCTGCCTTTAGCCTTTCCTTGTAAAGTCTAGGTCTTGACTGAATCTTAGAAGATTTGAACAATTTGAAGTGAAAAGGCTCAGTGTAATCTACTGCAAKAAACTTTTTTTTTTCTCTTACAATATATAGTAAACAGTACTGCCATTTTCAGAAACCGTCTTATTTAGGATAAGCTGTAATTTCATTTTATTCTTTATTAAATCATGTGCTCTTTAATTTGACTGTGKAAATCAGCATGAATGGCCTTTTTTCCAGGAATTTGTTAAAACCAGGCACTTTACAGACCTTCTGCTACCATTTTTCAAYGTGTTTACCTTCTATATCACAGCTGTTCCACTCTTGGCTTTTTGAACACGGARCCAAATGTGGAGTGCTTTGGCAGTGCCTATTGATAGATTGTCATTAGCTAGAGAATGTCCCAGTCCTGTTGCCTGTCACTTGTATGCATCCTAAGCAGGGGTCCTAGGGCAAACTTCCAGAATAAAACATAAGTCATGCCAGCCACAAGTAAGTCATTTCAAGATTCTGGAGTTTTCTTCAGGTACCATTCTGGTGATAGAATAGCTGTGGGMTATTCCTTTACTTTTTCATCTAAGGAGACAGGAATGGTACTGAAGGTTTTTATTCATCAAAGTTAATATCACTGTTCTCTAGATGTCACTGGCTAGGAGCTCAACCACAACAAGTCCTGTGAGCTTTGGATCTTTTTTTTTTTTWWYTTTTTGAAATAWTTTTTTTTTTTTGGGGGGGGGTGGAATTTTCAGGAGCCTTGCATTACAATGTTGGATCCCACGTCCAAGGCACTTTCAGCAAGTGAAGGCATCAGCTTGTGGTATTGGGTAGTGTTGGGGAGCTGAGGCTGGTGTCTTGAGGGTATCAGCATCACCTTTGGCAATAACAGAAGCAGTAAGATTTCTTTTCCACATCTTTCCTTTTTTYCCCCTGTAAATTGTGAGGCTGCACAAATAGGTGGGAGTTGTTTTGCCTAAAACATAATCTGTGTCTGGGTTAAGAGCAAACAATATATGCCCTGAATGCTCTAAATTCACCTGTACTGTGCAGTGATGCTCCTTACTACAGTTTGGTTAAATTTTTGAATTGCATCACTGTGTCATATGTTCTATCACTGWCTCTGCATGTCAAGTGACTGAACAACAGGACATCTTATTCAGAGATTCGCCTTCCTACTTTTGTTTATTTCCCACTGCCTTTTTCCAAATAACAGCTCCTAAGTCTTTTGCCTTCCAGCAGTTTATATCATCACACAACATATTGGCTCTTTTCCTATCTGCAGTCATCTGAAAGGATTTTTTTTTCTTAATCCAATGCATGTGAAGGAGGAATTTGCACTTGTTTTGCAAATCTCTTTCAGACAGTCATTCTTTATCCAATTAAAAAATACCCATCCTGAAATTGCTAAAGGCAAAGTAATTGAGTAACTGCCAGTAGAATTGTAATTTTTCTGAAATGCTTTTGATTGCAGAGCAGGAAGAAGATTATGGAGTTGGGGGTTTCAGCCCTGTTCTTAACTCCACTTTCCCCCTTACACATTTCCCCCTCTTTGTTCTCTCAGAGGTCCTTGTACAGTACCTCTGCTCAGGCACAGTGTTCTCTCCCTGATTCAGGGCTCTGGCCAAAGGGGCCATTTTCACCTACATCTCCCTTCTCATCTCTGCAAGGTATTGTCTGAAATTTCCAGGGCACTTTGTTCAGAGCAATGTGTGGTTGCTGGGTTACCAAGCAATTACCTTTTTTCATTTTGAGGGTGGGCAATGAGCACAATGACAGTCCGAGACTGTTTTGCTCCACATGCAAGTTGTTGCGATCATTGTCTGGAAGCTCTTATTGGAGCATCCCCCCACCAACTGCAGTGTGGGAGCTCAAAATACAGTGGGCTGAAATCTCWGGTTGGCACTTCTAATTTGTGCTTTTAATACACTGGACTGCTTGTTAACTGCTCTTCCCACTGGACCTAACTGCAACCTGTGAGTCAAAACAAAAATTTAGCTGGCCTCCTTTTCACTAGAGTTTAGCTTGGACTGCATATTGCTGTTGCAGCAAGTTCTCTAGTTTTTGCTTTAYTTTAATGTTTTATTCTACTTGACTGTGGGGTTTGGGCATCTTAGATGGTGTTTCCATAGGAAATTATCTGCAAATTTATATTAAAATACTTAATCATTTGGGTATCCAGATTTACAGRAGAGTTTTACATGCCAAGAACTTGGCTGAGTCTTGCCCCAGATATGATATCTGAGGCACAATAACACTGGTTAAGTGCAAATGTCTCCCACTTCATTGGTCTTGGCATGTATTTAACTGGCCAGCACCTAATGCTCCTGCAGGTCAGCTCTGTGAGCCACATGTACTGACATCTCTGTGCTTTCAGTGCTACAGGGCTGTCATCTGCTGTGGTGCAGTGCTTTGGGGCTTCTACCTTCTTGCAAGGACCAAGTTTGCATCGGGTGCACCCTGAGTTGTCCCCCAGCAGGGCTGTGACATGTCAGCTGGGAAGGCTCACAAGGCCTTTTTGGTCAATGGGTACTAGGAGCACCATGTCATTTTCTATTTTAAACAAATCTCTGGACTGGGAGATGTTTGTTCATGAGTAAATAGCTTTAAATTTGAGATTGGGTTACTTCTGTACCCATCTGCTGCTATAGATCTTTTAAAAACCAGAATATTGAAATATTGGAATTGGAATAATTCATGTTTGTTTCTGGTTTATTGGAAATCTCAAATATGATTTCTTGTTTTTAATGCTATAGGCAGAGAGACTTGAAGCTAAAAAAAGACAAGAAGAAATGCAAAGAAGAGACATGTTTCTTGAAGATCAAAAGGTGTAAGTACAATTTTAAACTTTTTACCTTGAATTGCTTATCTGCCTGTCCTTCTGTTTTGTTTGTTTGGGTTTTTAATTATAATTTAATATTATTTATTTGTTTGCATTTTTTTTCCTTGATTGGGGCTCAGGAAGGATTTGGCTTCTGCATATTGCTCCTGCATATTCAATATGCAGGATTTGGCTTCTGTTGCTATTTTTTTCCACTTTTGACTTGAAACTTTTGTCTTCAGGACAAGGGGCACAAGCTGAACCACATGAGGTTCATACTGAACATCAGGAAACACTGTTTTACTCTGAAGGTGGCTGAATATGAGTACAAGTTWTCCAGGCAGGTTGTGGATTCTCCATCCTTGGAGATATTCAAAAGTTCTGGGCAGCTGTCTCAAGGTGGCCCTGCTTGAGCAGAGGTAGGACAAGATGAAATTCAGAGGTCCCTTCCAACCTCAATTATTTCATGATTCTGTGAAATATTCAAGCCTCCTCCATACTTTATTCTGTGAGAAATTGTGTTCTATAGACCTCTCTTGGCTTCCTAAAGCATACACTTAGGAACAAAATTTGTGAATCATAGAATGACCTTGTGCTTTCTTTTTTTAACTGAATTAATGTGTGATCATTCAAYCCAAGACTAATTATCAAAACAGAATCTAAATTACATCTCCACCCATTCATTTTGTTGATTAGTAAAGAAGTCTAACCCACATGGAAATAATGAGGGCTTCCTATATTTAGCATAGTCCTACTTAAATGTGGAGATCTGTTGTGAAGACCTRTTTCCTAAGAATATCTCCTTAGATACGACTTAAATACTGATATAATTAATTCCATTGGCAGTCAAGTTCCTGCCTTGCCCATTCACTCTACCCTATTTATTTGTTTTTAACTGATCCAAACTGATTCTATCACATAATTAACACACAATGCTTTTTAGTCACCTTTACCTTTTTTATCTTTGGCTTCTGAAATTACTCACCTGTATTCTTAGTCTGATGGATTGCTTTTTCCTCTTCTATGACCTTTAAAGGAGTCACTTTTGTCCCATGCTAGTGGCTTCAGTTCCTTCATTGTTTGCCCAGACTCCGTTCTCTTATGTACAGACATTTTAGTGCTTTCTCACTGATTTCAGCTTTTCTTGTATTTTTCCTTTTGTTTCTTCCCATTTGGCTTTAGGCACAACTCTTTCCCTTAATATGTTGCCAGCATTTGTCTCTAGATGTTGGTGTTTGGCTCGCTGTCTGTGCTGGTGYGGATGTCTGGTGTACACACACACACACACCTTGATTCCTCAGGAATTCTGAAGACTGCGCAACTTTAGATCTCTGCCTGTTTCTGACAGACTAGGCACTTTGATTCCCTTTGAGCCTGAATCAATAACAGACACATCTGATCTTTGCAGTGCAAGGTCCTCAGTTATGGGCCTTGCTTTTTTCCTCAGGGGATTGTCAGAGTTCTTGTCTTCCCATTTAATCTGATTTTTTATCTTGAGGCATATTCAGTTGTGATCAGACATGTAYGGCTTCCCTTCCTTCACCTTCCCTGTCTGTACCTTTTTCTGCTTAGGGTGAAATGAATTCTGGTGTTCAGCGCTCTTTTCCATTAAAAGTAAGTGGTTTTGTCAAAAGCAGGCCCAAACCCTCTGAAACATGGGAAAATAGGAAATGGCCACAAGTGAAAAACTTTTTCACTGACAGGGTGGTCAAACATTGGARCAGGCAGCCCAGGGAAGTGGTCTRTTCTCCATCCCTGATGATATTTAAAAGTGTGTAGATGGGATGCTTAGGAAAATGGCTTAGTGCTAGACTTGGCAGGGCTGGGTTAATGTTGGACTCGATGATCATAGAGGTCTTTTCCAGCACAAATGATTCTGTGTGAGCAGCCATGTGGTCTCCAGGTGGTGCAGGAGCTCTGACTGCCTGAGCACTGCCTGGCAGCCATCCTGTCCACTGACTGAGGAAAGCCTTGTGAGATTCAGCTGGTGTCAGCTTTGCAGACCAAACTGACCCATGCGACTGAAAGTGAGGATGGTCTGTCCATCAGTGTCTCAAGCTCCATTGCTTGAGTTTGTGTTTAACAATCAGAACATTATTTGCCTGTACCGTGTATTGAATGTACACCAGGAGGGTCCTGTAGATACCACACATGGAGGAAGCGAGCTGAAAATCTCCAGTGAATGCAATTGTGGTCAAGAAAAAGGAAACCTGCCTGTCCCACCACCCAGGACAATCACTGTCACACCCCCTAAGCTGGGACTGAGTCCCCTTTGCAGCCACACCTCCCACGCTCACACAGTCTCTCACCAGGTTCAAACCAGATTTCCTTACCACTTCGACCCCAGGTTTCCTTTTGCAGAGTCTCAGAAATTGAGATGCTTAAAATAATTTAATCCTGGTGCAATAACTATATAACAAAATAGCCACTTGGGCTGGTTATTCTGAGGCAGGGCCCTGAACGAAGGAACCCCTGGGATTTTATCCCCTCACAGTCCATGCACAGGGATCTGGGGGTCCTCAGCTCCTGCTGTGTCTCCCAGTGTCSATTCCCCTGGCTGGGTCACAGGTCCCCAAGCCTTTTTTGTAATGAAGGGTCAACATGGCCCTTTGCCTGGGGCTCGGGCTCCTGTCCCCCAGAACTCAAGCTGCAGCTGCACACTGAGCTGCCTGCGCTGAATGTGGTCCTCAGCGGTGACACCGGTGCCTTCCCTGGTCTGAGGGATTCTCTGGTGGGCACAGGGAGTGTGTACTGCTAGATCTTGTCGAGGAGGCATTGCTAAGAGACATTGTTGGCATTAAGGAGCACAGCTTCCAAGAGTAATGAAAAGCTTCTGAGTGACATCTCAGATTTTTTWAAGTAACTCCATTGCAGCACTTCAGGTCATTAGCGGCAAGTTCACATAGAAGTGCTCGGTATTTAAAGGTGTTTTTGCCTACCATGCAAAAATGAGCGACTCGTTACTTCTGTCCTCTAAGACCCTTTGTCCAGCATCGAAGAGAACAAATACGAGGTTGTGCCCCTTTCCTCACTGTCTCTGCTGGAGTATTTTGATCTCCTCTGTTTGCTGGGAGTGGGGRGAAGGAAGGTCATGCGCTGCATATAAAGCAGTGACCTCTGCAAAGTCATGGCCTGTGGAGCCATTTCAAAAGATAAGCTCCCTTGTTAGTGTGTCCTCTGTAGGATCTGYAGCTGCAACATCACAATTTTCCTGAGGAGATCAATGCCTACCAGCAGCCTCATTAACTGGGAAACCTTTTAAAATTGATCACCACCTCTAGCTGTATCAGCCTCCAAGGGGTAGAGCCCAATCAGTACSTCTCCTGCATGAAGTGCCGCTTCTGTTTGATAAGGAAGGGCACTTAAGGTTCTCATGTCATTAACATGCTCTGACAATAAAGTATGATGCTGCCCAGAATTTCATTTTTCTGATTAAATTCTTGTCACTATTAAAAACAAGAACTTCTGACTGAAATCCACTTTCAAAGGGTCTAACATGGAGTACTAAAAAGAAAGATTGTCTGTACTTGTCTGCTGTCTGCAGAATATAGTTATTTCCTATCTCTTGAAAGCCTTGTTAGCTTTTTTTGTGTACAACAAGCCCTTAAAATTCAACTGTATCTGTTACCACAGTTGCTTGAATATGTGTTTGTGTCTTGTGAGAATGTGGTCCAKACAGGCCTGCAGAGTTCCATGGAAAAGCTTGCCAGCCTCACACTTTTGGGATCAGCCCCTCCTCTGATGCCAATGGATTCAGGCTCTGTTCAGTGACTAAAACAGACAAAACTCACAAGGTGTCTCCTGAGGTAGCTGTGGATAAAAACCCTTAAGGACTCACATGAGCAGACTTTGGGGTASATAAGTTCCTGCTTGGCCGGACTGCTGTAATTTGTGCTTACAGAGGGATTTGTTGCAGTGGTTCTGTCCCTGCAAATGCCAGATTTAGGAAATGGGGAGTACATCTGGACTTTTTACCAGAAACTAATTACACATGACACAGCGTCCTTCCTTCGAGTCATGGTATCTTGGATGCATTTTGCATTATTGGCCTGATTGTGTTTCTGTCAGAGTGTATTACAAGGTAACTAGGCTCGTGCAGTCTGTACTTTACAATTGCTAATCTATGCAAGGGAAGAACTARGCCCATGTTTCCAAAAGGAAACAAAGAACAGGACTTTTCAGGTCACCCCTCTTTAGTTAGTAGACCACAGTTGTCATTTAAACAGTAATGAGGAGGGATATGTCATGACTGGCTTTTCTTASTGACTTGCTGTGCAGGCTGTGTGAATCCTGTGTCTGAGCTGTAGGGGGTGTCTCAGTGCATGGTTTTAGCCCAAATCTCTGGTAAGATGCTTTTATTAAATTTGCATTCGACTTTCTAGGAATTGTAGTGTTGGATATGGTCCACTGCTTTTCTAATAGCCACCTACCTATTTATGAAATGAAAAAAAGCAGTCTAAAAAATAGGGTTACTTTCTAATAGTACATGATGACTTTAGTGTGACTTCATCCTTCCCTTTGCTACATATTCACATCTCTGTTTTTGTGAAGGTTGTATTCCTGTAAAAATTCCTGGCACTGCAGCACTCAGGTACATGTGTGCACTCAATATATGCCRCTCAGAATTTGGAGCTGGAAACAGAATTTGCCAGAGTGCCTCTAAGTGCATATTCCAAATACAATGCAGGAGGTTCACCAAACCAAGCTGATATACACTTGCCTGCCAAAGCAGTTTTCTCAAAAGTCATAAAATGCAGGAGAATAAAACCTGAATCAAAACAGAATTTTTATTTATTTATCAATTTTTACAGGATAAATGCTAGTGTCCTTGCCAGTTTTCAGTCCCCTATGATGTGTGGTTCAAACAGCAGGCTGGCAACAAATTTTCCCCGCAGAAGTGCAAATGTAAACCTGACCAGACTTTTAATATAGGTTGCTAAAGAGAATGAAAGAGGCCTTGCACAAAAAAACATTTGCAGCCTTGAGAATCCTTTGTTTGCTTCTTTTCA